AAACGAGGATCGGACCGGTCGACAAGCAAGTAACCGTGAAGGACGCGGAACAGACCCACGATCAGGAAGAAGAGGACGACGCATACCTGCAAAGGAGGGTACGCTTTCTGGAGAGAGAAGTCAGTCGTCACCAAGAGACAGCGGAATGGCTGACCAAGGAATGCACGGAAAGGGCAGCCAAAGACGACGACAACGACGGTGAAAGACAAGAGGTGGTGATCACCTCTACGAGGGGGACGAAAGAAAATGCTCCCGGGGTCCCAACGGGAACGATTATGGGTCCCCCTCTCCCACCTCCCCCACATCCCTGGTCAGCGTCGCGCCGTTTCCGCTGTCCCGAGGGGTCGGGGAGTAATAAGAAACAAACAAAGAAAACGGATAGATTCGGTGGTCCAGGACCTCGAGATCCACTAGAGGATCTCAAGATCCTGTTCCTCCGCAAGTTGGAGGAGTGTCGACGAGAAATAATGTCAGGGGGAGCGATCCCTCCGGCTACGGACGCTGGCGTCGCCACAAGAACCGTACAAGCACAATTGCGGTCGGCGAGAGACACCTCGCGGTCGACCGTGGAGTCGTCGACTGACGAGGCAGGATTCACTACCATCATAAGAGGAGGAAGAGGGAGAGCGAGGCGAGAGGACAGGAAGCTAACGGCGCAACCTCTTTCAACGGTCCATGCGCCGACCGAGGACGCAAGAACCAAGGGACAGGTATCGTCGTCTTTTACGTTGTCGACGTTGCAAACAGGGACCTTGGCGCCTGGGGTGGCGACCGGCAGTGGGCGGAGGTGGCCGCTCGGCCTTCGGTGCGCTTCCGCACGGGAAGAGAATCCATGCGAGGAACGGTCAGCGGCGATAGATCCGGAGCTATCTGGGCAGGAAAGAGACGTAACGCTAGTGGGCGAGACCTGCGCGGCGAGAAAGTGCCGGGCCTTCCCCGACCCCCACGGTGTGCCACGGTATCGCTCACCGTGAGGGACGGCTCGGGTTTCACGTACAGGAATACGATGTCAGTGATGAAGAGGGAAGTTAATGTTACAGAGTCTGGCGGATCGGCCTGGC